TTTGTCTATTGGGTACCATTCTAAAATTTTCTTGGTCCATCTCTCATCCAGTACTATTCTTCCAATATCCTCGATGTTTGACTTTTCCCTTATCCATTCTTTTGTAATGCCCATCATCCTTCTATGCATTGCCCTTGCTGTTACCTTAATCTTTTTAATTATTTTGTTTGTTAATATCCATAAATCATGACAGGAGGACACACATTTCCCACAATTTTTTCTTTTTCTTCGTTTCTAAGTTTGATTTCCATATATTTTTGTATTTGTTAAACATTTGCCATCCCATTGCCATTCTCCGTGTTATTTCTTCTCCCGGTGTTTTTACTTGTAATCTTTTGTCCTAGATATACGAAATGCTCTACTTTGTCGGTGTCCTTTCCATTAACAATTATTTTATTTTTTTGTTCACAATTTATGTGCATTGCTTTTGTCTTGCTCATATTTATCTCCAGACCAGTTTGCTTCCCTCTTCTCGATATTGTTTCCAGCATTTTCCGTTTCGTTTTTTCCTATAAGTACTATGTCATTTGCAAACTTTAGCCTGTTCAACCATTGCCCATTTATTCTTATTCCCAGGTCTTTCCATTCTTCTTCTACGAACATTGTTTCCAATACTGCATTAAATAGCTTTGCAGAAGTCACATCACCTTGCTTCAGTCCTTTTCCTAGAGTTATCGTCCTTTTATTATTGTTCATTTCGATGTTTAGTTTTGACTTTTTGTATATATAGTTTAATATACGAATATACTGATCTTCCATACTAGACGTTTGTATGACGTTGTTTCTGTTCTTACATTGTCAAACGCTTTCTTAAAGGCTACAAATAATTTATGAATAATGTTGGATAATTCATTCGCAAATTCCAAAAAAAGGGAATAAAAATTATCGCAATTTTTGTTACCCAACATTTCGATTCTCAACCGGTTATTAGAGATGCGTGAGTATAATAGCTGGGTGAGTCATGAGTACAAAAGCTTCTTCGTGGGATGAGGAGTTACTCCCGCTCGGTTCTCTTCTAGAAATCGTTCTCTTGCCGGGGAATCTGGCGGCGTCATTAGCACGCACGCGCACGTTTCCGGTTCCTGTTCCGTTCGTGTCACCCTCATCCACCCCGTTACCGCCCCCCAATGCCAACGGCGCCTTCCGCCGCGACGCCGAACTCCGTCCATCGAAACTCCCAATGCACGCTGAATTTTTAACGCGCCTTATTGGACTTTCTAATTGAGTATTCTCGTTTGTTTTACGAACCGTGACAGGAAACTTATAATGCTATTAATTGGGGAATAGGGATCGAGGCGAAAAGAAAACCGTTAAGAGCTTCGATGGGGGTGGATATTATTTTGAATATTTGAAACAAAAAATGAACCCTCTCGAAATTGTTTGTGAAGATCATCAATCGGGGTGATTCACTGTACGTATAGGAGGAAGATAAAAAATTATCCTCGCACATTTATCGTATATCAAAACTACCCCGATACGGTATCGCGATAACGTGTGACCTTATGCAACAACCCCTACAACTACTTTAATCCAGCTTGGAACCACACACACGGACACGGCATCGGACGTAATCGTGGGGTGACATCGCAAAACTTGTATGTAGAAACGCGTGTACGCGTTTAGTATGGGAACAGAAACCCTCAAACTTTTTTTTATATCATATTCAATGATAAAAATAAAATTTTTAACAAAATTTTATATCGATGTAATCACTAGTTATGATAGAATTTAATAATCATCCCTTAATTAATAATAATCTCCTTTATTAAAATCGGCTTTCCCTATCAATAATAATTTTATACAAACTTTTTTTTTTTTAAATTGTGATTTAAAATTTTGATATTCGCTGGTATACGGAACGAGGCATTTCAAAGCATAGGTACACGGTCCAGGTGGTTGGGCGCAATTGTCATGTAAATGTGCCCCAGGTGTGCAAGTTGGGAGTGGGGCGGATTTATCCCGGTGACGTACGGCGATGAGCTATGGGGAACATCAAGGCTACTGGTTCCATTAAATTGACGTCTAGTAGACATAAACGTAACCTAAGTGATTTTCCTCAAAACGCAAACAAAATTTTTTAATTAAACTTTTTACATAATATACAGTACTTAATAGTCATGGATTTTAATGGCATAAAATTAGTTGCAAATAGTGCAATCCAATGGTGCAGCATAATATGTGACATAATTCAGCATAATATGAATATCATCATCATTACAGCATATGTGACATCGAGTCAATAAAAATATTGTTACGAATTAATCCAATCACAGTAATTCCATCGTAATTTACAGCATCAGCATTTCCAAGTCAATTTCAGGTTCTACTAAGCTTATACAATACAAGTTACTTTGGGGTCTACAGAACTTCAGTGTTAACGTTGTTTTCGAAGTTATGATGTATTTAATTGATTGCACTTAAACACTCTTCCGGTCTCCTGTAACGTTCCGCAATGGTTTATAAGGACCATTGCAATTTATTATCAATATCTTTAAGTTATATATCGTCTTCTTTGTATCAGAAACTCCTTCAATTATTGATAAATTAGATGAAGATTGGAGAATTTGGTTATGGTTACTGAGGTCCATGATTTGAAATTTAACCCAGTAAAGCTTTTTGTTTCAATGCTGTAATCATTTTGACCGTGTTGAGTTAATTAAAAACTTTGGTTTACAAATATAATTGTTTTGAAGTGAGGATTTTATTGAAACAATATGCTATTTGCCAATTTGAGGTTGGTGTCACAGCTTAAAATCAGTTTGCAGAGAGTTCCAACTGTTGATAAATTAGATGAAGATTAGAGAATTTGGCTAGGGTTAGTAAGGACCATGATTTGAAATTTAACTCAGTAGAGCTCATTTTATGGTATTTGACAGAAAGATTTTGCATGATTTCAATGTTGTAATCATTTTGACCGAATTGAATCGATTAGAAACTTTGATTTCCAAATTTAATTGTTCTAAAGTGAGTACATTATTGAAACAATATGCTATTTGCTAATTTGAGGTTCATGTCACAGCTTAATATCAGTTTGCAGAAAGTGGGATAAGATTTAGAATGTAATTTATGAGGTCACTTAAGTATCTAATCGCTTTGGGATTCTGTTTTCTGATTGAAAATCAGTTTGCAGAAAAAGTTAAGTATTTGAGTGTCATAAGGTTTGTAAATTCTGTGGCAATCAGATTTTGTTCTGGACTTAAATATCGTCCTCTATTTGCTGGTTCCAGTAAATTAGCAGCTATATGTATCGGTTTTATCGATTTATTCATTGTTGACATTAAAATACCTTTAATTGTGTCCTGCTCATCTTGAAATATCGATGTTGATAATAATTGTCGTGATATAGCAGCTTCTATTTCCAAAAAGGCATCAAAAACCTTTGATATTGTAGGAGCATTTGCTTCAAAATATTTAATCCGAATCCCTGGGTAGTCCCCGATTTTCTTGATATTACAGACATTATGTAATATTACTTAAATTACCGGTAATATTACTTTTTACATCACTACTCTGGATATTAACTTTTGATTTTTGAATGAGAGTTGAGGATGAGAATTGTAAATTTTGATTTTACTTTTTATATTGTTTTTTTTTCTGTTTTTATTTGTCTTGGTACAAGTTAAAATCAGTGGTAGTGTTGCTACCCTTTCTGTTCTTGTACCATTTGAGCCATTGTAATTTGAATACTTTTTTATTTATTTTAGTTGTAAGGATTATTTTATTTTGCCTTGTTAATCATATTTATATATTTTTTTTTGTTTCTGTTCAAATAATTTTGTATCTTGTTCTTTTTATCATTATTTCTGGCTCAATAAACAGTTTATTATGTTTATTATTAATATGGCAAATGACGCGTGGAAATCTTTCTTGATATTTTCGTACTGATTGTCGAGCATTTCCATTGCAAAAACCATACACGAAAATTATATCAGCATACTCTTCAATGCTATAAGCGTACATTTTGAGTTTCTTCTTGTATGTAATAATAATAATTAAACCTTACACCAAACTGACATATTACAATGACAACTTTGTTTTTGTTGAATATTGGCTATTAATAAATTCGCTGCAGAAAACTTTAAAGTGTTATAATTTCGTAAATAATTGAAATAAGACATATGTTCATTAACATTTTTTTTTGTAATTGGATTAGCTATCATATGTCAAAGTTTGATGGTGAGCTAATAAATCACCCTGTATATTAGACTATACTATTAGCCACTTAACTAGATACACAACTTTTTTCATGATACAGTAGAGTATAATAGAATTGATTATTATACAACATATCTATTATAGATAACAGGCAGTTATATTTTGTTGTATTTCCTGACATACATTTTCTAATTCATATAAATAAATGGATACAATTTTATTAAAGTTATACATTTTGGGAATCCCTTAAATTATCTATAAACGAAGATAATCAATAGTGACACCAATTAATTTAATACGAACAACGTCAAAACACTCCAAAACTATAAATACTGAACATACGTCCGAATCCAATTAAACCGCAATTCGCGTTCGACCTTCACTCAACCCGCACGCAAACGTAAGTATTTCATTTCAAATAATATCACACGTAATAATCGTCATAATATTTGTTTTATTCGAAATGTTAACGCATCAATTTCAATATTACATCACAATCAACTCGAAACTTAATAATGAATCATTTCATTCATAACGAAATAATTCTATTATATGAATATGTTAATACATTTTATTTACACCCAAGCAAAAAAAGTTGCCTAAATGCTTAACCTCACTTTTTATTGCACCAAATCAGTGTTAGTTATGAGTCATAACTTATGAGTAAAATTTCGTTGTGTAAACCCCCGAAATATCTGAGTCCATTTAATCTAAATGCAAATGTTTTGGCGTGGCCAAAACAATGTGTTAAATGTCGTTGTTTCGTGTGTCATTCGATCGTGTGACACATCGCAATTTCTCGTATCGTTCTCGTATCGTTCACGTATGTTCGGTTTGTTTCTCAGGTCGTTAAGGCAATTCGTAACTTCCGGAACGAGCAATATGCCAACATCCGCGGCCGTGTTCCATTCATTGGACACAATTGTAAACGTACTTGCTCAAGATGAGGTGCGTATACGTAATTGTATGGAACTATCCCGAAATGTTGGATAGTTTTACAAGGTCATTCACTAACTTTGAATTGCTTTTCAAGTTCAAGGGCGAAAAAACGGAGAAGATTTTGAAAACGTACGAGAATGCGGTTAAAAATGGTTTAGTTTCGAAAGATCAAAAGCGATATCCACTGATTGTTTTCGAAGGATTGGATGGAAGTGGTAAAACCACGTTAAGCAAAAAATTAGCCGAGAAGCATAACGCTGCATTATTTTGCACACCCCCTTCATCGATTAGTGATATCCGGGATGTTTTTGAGAATGATAAAGTTTTGAGAACGGCTTATTATTCCTTGGGAAATTATTTAGCACAAATTGAGATTTTGGGGAAATTAAAAGAAAAACCCGTCGTTCTTGATAGGTTTCGTTTTGAGCCAAAGTATTAAAAAAAAGTTTTGTAATTAATTTTGTTGTAGATTTTGGCATTCCACAACTGCTTACTCTTTAGCACAAAGTGTTCATAACGGACAAATAAAATGTTTACCACCAAAAGGCGATAAAATATATAATTGGCCATCAGATCTTATTCAACCTGATATGGTGGTGTTTTTAGATGTTTCTGAAGAAGAACGACAACGAAGACACGAAATTAGAAACACCACAAATACTAATCAAGAGCAATTATTAAAATCACAAAAGGAGTTTAGAAATAAGTAAGTATCAAAAATAAAGGGGTCTAAAATTTTAAGTTTAATTTTTTTTGTTAGTATAATTCAGGCTTATAAATACATGGAAAATCCAGCTGTAAATTTCATAAACGTCGATGGACCAATTGAGAAATGCGTTGATGATATATACAACATCACTAAATATCTATTTGACAATAAAATATAAAGATGTATGAATAAACTCTATTTAAATTCTTTTGAATCGACCAGGTGTTTTGTTTAATACAAAAAAAAATCTTGCGTGCTTGATGAACGTTCCAAGTTCGGTTGAAGAAGTTGGAAGGCCATATTCGTAGAAGAACGTGGTCGTCGTGCCGTCTCGCCACTAGCTCGCATTAGGAACATTCGTGCCTTCTCGGCTCCTGCCAGCAACCACCACCCGTGAGCCAAAGAGAACCATCGACATCTGCGTACGACTCGCATTCTTATGCGGGGATTAGCGTCCGCTTAAATATTAATAAACATGCCCGCTGATAGTTTGTTTGATTTACATGGTGCTGCGTCGCGCACCACCACGTCGACGAAGCTATTGTGCCTACGAGTTTTAATCCTGAAATGCCATACAGTTAAAATGGGTACCCACTACTATAATATTTTAATGGGTGGTTGCGTTTGTTTTCTATAATGGACCAAGAAGATGTTTAAATAAACGTTTAGAAGTAAAAGAAAAAAAATATTAAAAGCGAACGAGTATAAAAATGGGTGAATCGAAAGGAGAGCACCTTAATGTGTGCACCACGGGGTGCCTAACAAGGCCTGACAATTATTCCGGGTAATTAAGTAGAGGGAACTTTTCCGGGAATCGCTTTCAGTGGCGGTAATTAAGAAAGTCAGGACGTCCCAGGGATGCTCGGTGCGGATGTGCTCGGAATGTGCGAGAATTTGATTACTTCCCCTTTGTCTTATCGCAGGGGCACGCACATCCGGCCACGTGGAAATGGGGAATCCCAACAATTTTCATATTAAATCACTTTTGTCTTTTGCACTTTAAATCATTTCACACTGTCTGTTTGCAAATGAATTATGTAGATATGGTAGTGTTAATCAATCAATCACAAAGTTTAATGACTTCTAAGATTCTCACAAATTATATCATTACAAGATGATATGAGTTTAGTGTATGACATATAATTTCTTTTCACAAATCTAGACTTGATTTTTACTATTCACCACTTACACCTATTTAAGTATATAACTGCTAAAATTAATTAACCACAAAAAGTAAGTAGGTAGATAGGAAAAGAGTGGAAAATAGTTAATGGCAAAGGTATCGACTATTATATGTTAATGTTTACCTGTTTCTGCACTTCTTAAGATATTCAAAGTTTACTAATTGAGTCTTCCAAGACTCTATTTGATGCAGACAGGCTAAGTGTGATTATGGTTATTCAAGCCTTGTACTGATTGGGAAATAATGTATGACAATTTGGTTTTGACATTTCAAAACACAATTTGTGTAATTTTGGCGCAACGCGCATTTCGTGTTCTTTCTTATGATCTCCATTACTTTGGTCAATATGGTGCTTAACTGCAAGTATCTTAGAGTATCTGATACCACTCTATGCAGATAGAAAGTGCAGCCCTTGTCACTTTTGTAAATAAACAAAATTTGAGATTCTGTGGCACTGAAAATCTGCATTGCAATGCACGAACGGTATTATTGACGAAATTATTGGATTATTTTTGAAAACGATGCGTGAAAAACAGTTAATGAATGAAGAGAGCTATAGATCCATAACATATTTTTAATTAAGGTATTGAGTCTGGGAAACATATGGTTCCTGGCCGAAATAATGGCACATATTGCACGAGTTACAGCCGACATCATTCGATATAAGCGATGATATAGACTTCTGTATATATCTAGTTACAGGTTTATGTAAACATACTACAGATTCTGAAAATCGTCAAGAAGAATCGCCAAGATGTGTAGTTTATCGTCCGTAGATTTAAACGAAACCACAAAAAGAGTCCGAATAGCTATCAAAATGACCACTTCAACACTTGCACTAAACAAGTTTAAGGTCTATGAACAACCAGACTTATCTATACAAGTAGATTTCTTTGCCAATTATAGAGGTCGATACAAAATATATTTATAACTTTGTCGAGTTGATAAATACAAGAAGTTGGTCATCACAAAATCACCCATTAGATGCAAAGATGTAGTGCAAAAGGAGATTATTGAGCAGGTGTTTCAATTCGAATATCTCAGAATGTATAGGGCATCATCATAAAGCATGACATAAAGGCAACAAGAATATCAAGTGCATTTTGCAACCCAATATGAAGGAATAAACATCTATCAACCGCAAGCAACCCCAGAATATACTAGGTGGAGCAAAAGTCATCACCATATCGTAAGATGCTATAATTTTTGCAAATGGCGCCAGATACCAATTTCGTCTTGAAGAGTATAGAACAAGAAGAGATGCTGCCAGGTCTAGCCGGCCCCTACAAAATCATGCGTAATGACATTCTCTTGCCTCATTTGGATGAATTGGGACTAAAGAATATATGATTCAAACAGGATGGAGCAAATTCTGAAGGATGCATTTCCGGGTCGTTGTCTTTCGTTTTGATGATTATACTGGCCGGTAAGATCGCCCGATGTAACCGTTTCAGATATCTTTTTGTGGTATTTTGTGAAGTTACGAATCTATGTTAACAAACGCAAACTCTTGAAGCCCTCAAAGAGAATATCCATCAAGAATGCGGGAACCTACCGTGCGAAGTTTTGTCAAGAATGATGGAAAATGTAATAATAATAAATCGGGCCCGTATGGTCATCAATTCTGTCGGCGGTCACTTTTTTAGATATCATTTTCTCGACTTAATAAAAAAAAATTAAGACATTAAATATAAATGAAATACGAAAAATATTGCATTTCTCAGACATCGTCAGATAGGTTCGGCAGAGTCGATGAGTATGAAAGGAACATGTATCAAGAATGGATCAGTCGTTGCTGGCAAAATGTGCAAGATGGCAAAATATACACAAAAAGACCGATAGGAAGACCTTCAAAGCGATGCAAAGACACTTGAACCTTAGTATCATAAGAGAAGCAGAACCACGAATGACGAAGCGTCATGACAAGTCTTTCGATAAGCAGAAGAAGGTACATACAAGCCCATGATAAAGCAATTGTGCAATGTTATCAAACACAAGAACTTCTGTACTTTCTGATGATGTGTTACAATACCACTTCCGCTTGACGGAATTAGCTTAAAAGTTGAGTGTAATAGTTATATGTAATAGCGATAGAGTTTAGCAGTCTTGAAAGATGTTTCTAGTTCTAGCTCTAATGTCTGTTCTAGTTTTGCACTATCACTACAACTAACACAAAACCTAGAACGAGACACTGATAGTCAAATTATTTCCAAGAAAATTGATTCAAGAAAAACTGATTACCAGCTATTCCAAAAACAACGAGAATGATGAATTTTGTGAACTACTGGCTCTTATGACTGCTCTAGAAGGCTTGCCATTTCATATCTTTATTACCTCTCAAGACATCAGAGAATGTTTATGAACAAGAGGATTCTTCAATTACAATACGGAATGCGGTTCTCCTCCACTCTGAGAAAATTAAAGATAAAATAACTTCTGAAATATGTAGTTTAAAGTCTAAAGGTACATGATTCAGCATAACATTCGATGCGTGAACTACATGCGTGGATACATTAATATTAATGTGCATTCTAGTGAAGGATTATTTAGGAATATCGGGTTAGTACGTGCAATTGGTTCAGTACCAGTAGAAAAATGTGTATCATTAGTTGAAGAAAAGTTAACAACTTTTGGTTTAAGTGCATTTATTAGTGCATCAGTTATACTTGGCTCATGGTATAAATTTAGCCATAACAGATGTTTTCTATAGGACCAAAAGTACGAATGAAAATGGGGAAGCGAAAGGAGAAATTAGAAATGAAGATGATGAAGTAAAAGTATCCATATATCTTATGGATGGTGTCATCATAGAGCATGAGTTCATTTGACTGTAAAAAAAATTGATACCAGATGCGTTATGCCCAAGAGATTCACATCTTTTGACTGCTAAGGCTTCACTGAAATTCATGGTGGATACGCTGTCTGAACAATAAAGATTAATTGCTTTAGAATTGCTAAATGCATTCGTTACTTTGTTAGTGCAATAAATAAAATTTGCGTTTTTTATTTCTCTTTTATAGTTTTCCCAAGATTCACATTGATTAAATACTGAAAACTGGTATTCAAAATTTCTTCCGACATTCTAAGCTGTAACTGTGATCCCTAGTCTAATTTATTGATCAATTCCTTTAAATTAGTTCGCAATATGTTTAGATATACATGACGGTCCATAATTGTCTCAATAAACTTTTTTTCTTAAATTTTCGCCATACTTTACTGTGGGTTTCAAGTTTTGTTTATTCATCTCTTCGTTTTTCTTTCTCCATACTTTTGTTGTGCCATCATAACCTTGAGTTATAAATATGATTATGTTTTGTTTTTTAGTATAAAATAATAAGTTATACATCTTTTATGTAAAATATAAAACTTCTATAGACTTATAAATGATGAACCTAGAATCTCAAATAGCTAATTCTATAGACTACATTTCAGGAGTTAAGTTAGACTCCATTGTATCACTGTATGTGTATAAATCACATTTCTAGTTTACATTTTAAATCATTTCACTCAGTATGTTTGCAAATTGATTACGTAGACATGGTACATCAAGTCTATAAAGCGGTACATGAATGTTATTGACCGGTATTCGCGGTGACAAGGCCTAGGAGGCAGGAGGATGTGTCCATCGAACGAAGACAATGGCGAGGGTGTAATGGTCCGGAACCCCATCACGATAGTTGCTTTTGAACGGCGGCCGTGTTACGAACTGCGTCTGACAGCAACGCACTTAGTTAGCTGTCAGAAATCCGGAACAAAGGTTCAAATACCAGGGCTATGTGACTGTGTAGATGAAGGGTTGGATTTGATTTCTTGTCGATATAGTACAAGCCGTTAAACGAGCAATTAAAATTCGGTACTTAATCATGTCAAATCATGCCTATAGGGTAGTTATGCATTGCGGATTATGGCTGATAATCTACTGATATTTAGGCTTGATCTTATATCTTAAAGCGGTCCAATAACAGCATCGTAAATATTTCGTCGATAAATCGCGGTCGCGGTATACAACACAATGGTCAATATTTCTTATAATTT